TGTCTGTTCCATGGTGTGTGTGTGTGTGTTTGTGTGTGTGTGTGTTTTCTCCCTGTGACCCAGTGTTCGTCCTCATGTTGATTATTAATTTGATTCTAGGTGTGTCTCCTTAGTCCCTCGTTATCCTGTTTAAAAGCCCCAGTCCTTTCAGTTAGTGTTTGTCGGTACTTAAATGTCATTCCTCAGTTCCTGTGTTCGTATCTCTTTGTTGATGGAATTAAACTCTATGGAAGTACTCTTCTGTGTCTCCTCGCTCCTTTCTCCAAGTGAATCGTGACGCGGTAATTATTGCAGGGCAAAATAATTGTAATTTTAATTCAATAAAAGTAACTTCATAATAATAACAGGCCTAATAAAATAAGAACGTAACAAGCCTACGTTAATTGGAAATGCCAAATCTTCTTAATATTGCCAAACATGATGTTTTGACAATATCTTTGGCTATCGTTGATACAAGATCATCGTCTTTCGACGCAACCCAGCAAGGGGAGGTTATTGCGGGGCCTTTTGCAGCATGTGCCCTGCGTGCCCGTCCACTAACGTTACTCCACTGGGCAGACAACACGTTGTCCGTTACGTCGTTTGGGCTGCCTTGTTGAGCACAGCAACACACACTTTAAAGGGGTCATATGATGCGATTTCAAGTTTTCTTTTCTCTTTGGAGTGTTACAAGCTGATTGTGCATAGATAAGATCCCTGAAGTTGCAAAGACTAAAGTCTCAAAACCAAAGGTTATTGCGGGGCCTTTTGCAGCATGTGCCCTGCGTGCCCGTCCACTAACGTTACTCCACTGGGCAGACAACACGTTGTCCGTTACGTCGTTTGGGCTGCCTTGTTGAGCACAGCAACACACACTTTAAAGGGGTCATATGATGCGATTTCAAGTTTTCTTTTCTCTTTGGAGTGTTACAAGCTGATTGTGCATAGATAAGATCCCTGAAGTTGCAAAGACTAAAGTCTCAAAACCAAAGAGATATTCTTTATCAAAGTTAAGACTCTGCCACGCCCCCCTAAAACGGCTCGTTCTAACACACCCCCACATATCTACCTCACTATGTGGAAATATTTGCATAATGCCGCCCAAATGTGCACGCAAAGAAAGAAGGCGTTGTTTCAGTAACCGCAGTTAGTGTTGATGCAGCCATGTCAGGGAGACACTGTGTTTCTGGGCGAAAGCAAAAACACTTTATTTGGCCTTCCGGAAGTAGATGCATTTAGGAATCTTTAAGATTACTTACAACAGAACAGCAATGCATTTTATGGACAACCGTTTCGTGAACCTAGGAGAGGAGGTAATGCGGAGTTTTGAGCATCGTGTGTGTGTGTGTGTGTGTCAGAAAGAGAGAGAGAGAGACCGGGTCACATCACTGTGGAGTCAGCTGTCTTAACCGTGGCTTGTGTAACGCAAACTCATACCGAAAGCCTCGTACCGAACGGTTCAATACAAATACGTGTATCGTTACACCCCTAAAATAAAAATAAAAATATATATATATATTAGTTGTATGGTATATAAATTATAACGCACTAATATAAGTAAAATAAGGTAATATTATATTATTCTGATATGTTATTATATTTATTTTATTATAAATATAATAATAGTTAATATGTTAATGATAAAACACTATGACAAGATGATATTTATTTTATTTATTACATATGTTTATTATACTTTAATATCATCTCACATCATGGATCGGCATTTTCTATAATGTATTTTTATAATAAAAATACATATCTGACATGACTTATATAATTAGCATCAAACAAACAATATAATTCTTATTCTCCAGGATTAAAGAGTAAACAGAAAAAAAGAAAAATTATTGCACATTCATCAATTAGGTGGCGATATGCACTAAGCATGTAAATGAACAAAAGAAGAAGAAAGAAACAGCATGGTGCGATTTTTCTTAGCCTTGTCGATTCGTCGCTCTGTTGAGAATGTCTTGAGTCTTAATCAGGAACATACTCTGTGTTGAATTAACTTACTCCCGGACGCGTTTTTGGAACCACATACATGACTTATATAATTAGCATCAAACAAACAATATAATTCTTATTCTCCAGGATTAAAGATAACAAAAAAAAAGATTGCACTACCACCAGTTAGGTGGCAATGTGCACTAAGCATGTAAATGGCCTTTGAACAGAACAAGAAAGAAGCAGTATGGCGCATGTTTTGTTAGCGTCCGTTTCCATAGTGACTCGACGATTCGTTGCTCTGTTGAGAATGTCTTGTGTGTTAACCAGGAACATACTCTGGGTTGAATTAACTTACACCCAGATGCGTTAGAAAAGAAAAAAACCGTGGCAGCAGAAAAAAAAATTTAACATTATTACAAATTAAAAACATAATTCAGTCAGGTAAAGCTTCAAGTGTAAATGGTTCATGGGTGTAGGCTACATGACTTTATAAACATTTGACATATTCAATAACTATCATTCAGTGTCTATTTCAATGTGCAGTGGCTTTTTCCACATAGTCTAATGCTCTTTTTACATAATTAAATGTTCTCTAATCCAACATACATTTCTTAATTAGGGTAATGAAATAAACATTTGACCTCTATTCAGCCAACAGCAAGAAGGCAGAGACTCGTAAAATGGGGGGAGAACCTGCACCAGCACCACTGACAGATGAAGAGGACATGGTCAAGTAGAAGAATTTTAAAATCCGAAAGAAAAAAGAATAACTGTTGCTTTTGTATTTGTAGAAAATAAAGATGACCAAATAAATTGTGAATAATGTATAGTTATTTAACAGCTGTGGTGGTGGTTACGGCATCTCGTACTACCCCTGAGGTGCAGATAATTGCCACTATTTGCAATAAGAGAATAAATAGCAGAAAATCCTGCTATTTTAACATAGTGTGAATAGAATCTATAGCTATTTGCACTTAGTGTAAATAGCATATCACTAACAATGCTGCTATTTGCACTTAGTGTAAATAGCATCTATCGCTAAAAAAATATGCTATTTTCACTTAGTGTAAATAGCATGTAATTGCTATTTACATTTAGTGCAAATAGCCACTGCCTTAACTTTAACTCTTATTCAGTGTTAAGCCCGAAACACACTGGACGATTTTCGGCTGTCCCAGACAAAAGACTGGCATCGTGAAACAATCGTGGAGATTTCTGTGATTGTGGCTCCTAATCGGTGGTCCTGTGTGAAAGGGGTTCAAAGACGGCCGTTGTCACGGCCTTGCGACCAAATAAAGCCTATGATCATTTTCTGACTGTGTCAGAAATTCAGCATGATCATCGCACAGTGTTTACTGCTACAACCCACATTTACTGACCAGTCAATAAAAATGCGACATGAAATCAATGCAACATGGTGCTGAAACAGAACCGATTACCTCAAGCTCTTATCCATTCCTCTTTCGCCGCTTCCACTTTTTTTTCCAGCACACATAAAATCTGTAGCTGCCAAAGTGATTCGTTATGCTCTTTTTGTTTACCACTAGCGCATGATGTCGAATTTATTCTTCTATAGTAACGTGCATCATAGCCTAGTCAATAGGTGTCATTATCGTACAGTCTACATGCATGTCGTACCCAAGTTTATTAGATCCATATCGCACAGTGTGATTAGCAATGATCTTATAGGATTGCTAAAATCGTGAAGTGTGTAGAAGGCTTTTCTTTAAAAGCGATAGGGGCTATTTACACTAAGTGAAAATAGCATATTTTCTTAGCGATAGATGCTATTTACACTAAGTGCAAATAGCAGCATTTTTTAGTGATATGCTATTTACACTAAGTGCAAATAGCTATAGATTCTATTTACACTGTTAAAATAGCTGTTAAAATAGACTTATTGCAAATAGTGGCAATATCTGCACCTCAGTATTGTAGTACATTATATAACAGTATGCAATAATAACTTATTGTGTAAATTTAAATGTAAATGCCACCTTATTGGGACAATAAAGCCCTCCCTACACCTACCCTAACCCTACCCGATACGTTATTTTCAACTTTTTGATTATTTCCTTCATTTTCATTGAAAATAAATGATTTTCTGATGTGATTTGAAATTTGAAAAGGGAGAAAAAAGTTTGAACGGATTCGGATTCGAACCAAAGTAGTCGATCGCGTCAAAGGAGTTCAACACAGGTTTTACCATCTGCACCACTGGAGCTGATGATAGTTGATTGTCTTTTGTAGTGTTGACTCGCCGAATCAGATGGTGGTGGGTGGAGTTAGTGTAAATAGCCTCACCCAACAAGGCGGGCTATTTGCACTTAGTGTAAATAGACACTCCGTTTCTTTAATACTCTTGATTATGGATTATATAAACACTGAGCAAGCTTTGTCAAGCCAACATAGTTAATACAAATGGGCTAAGATATAATAGTGCATAGAGTTGACAGTTAAACAATAGATAAAGTACATAAGAGAACAAGCAATTTCTTTTTACCACTTACCCATTGCAATGGTGATCACCCTCAGAAGAAACTATAAGACAACCAAGATTTCATATCAACAAAAATACTGGATGTACAGTCAAAAAGCATAAAAAACTATATAAAAGTACACTTACCAGTTTTATCAACAATATTTTTGCTTTTAATATGCTTTCTATTGCCTGACTTTGTGTGTCGAGTCCTGGTACATGGTGAAAAAAAGAAGATATATTTCAAATGAATGAATGGCATAATGACTGAGTATTTTTACACTGATTTAAGTGAAACTACATTTTTGAAGCAAATTAAGAGCTACTTTGGAATGCATTACATAGACAGTTGTTAAATGTATTATCACATGCATTCATGAATATTATTTCTGGTCAACTTGCATTGACAAGAAATTAAAAAAGTAAAATTCCTTCCAAGCAACTGTGAAACAGGCATTTACAACAAAGCTTCATTAGTTAATTAGTCAAAAAATAGTCGAATAATTTACAAGATTTATTTCTGTGAACCTCCTACGAGCAAACATTTAATTTGAACTATTTTGAAAAGTCTGATTAATTGGAAGACATTGTGGCATCAAGTAATGGGTTTAAAGTTTTGTGTTGTAGTTGGGAATACCATAGCTGCCATTCTTAGATTATAACTGAGCAACTAATTAGACTTCATCATGGATAAATCAAAAACCTTACTGGGGTTAAATAATTACAATCAAATGTACGCTGATTTAATGCAGATCAATAAATAACCTTGTGCAGCAGCAAAACAAACACACAGTAAAACATAATGTGCTAAACTTTTTATTTTTATTTTATCTGTTACATTAATGAATTATTAATAATATGAATGTAGTATAATTTTATACCATGGTGATTGCAGTTAACAGAGCTAAGTAAAGCTGTGATTAATCAGAATGTCTCAGAGTCATGCATATTCAGTGGCACTTAGCATGTCCATAATCATTCAAGGCCTACAGTAATTGTCTTTGCCTTCCACAAGAGTAAACACAATAACTCATTATTATTCCTATCGCCAATCCCACTCCTCCTCCCAAGATGGTCATTATGCTTATGTCTTCCCTTCCTGAGTATGGCATCAGAGTTGGCTGTTTGTTGTCTTCTATTTCCTGGCTATTCTGACTGACTGTCTCTTGTCTCTTTCTCTTTTCTTCCTCTTCTGTGATCTTCCTCTGAGTCTCCTGGTACATCTCTTCAGTGTAGTATTGTCCTTCATTCTTCTTCACTATTGTTTTTATTTTCTCCAGCAGTTCAGTGACTTGAGTTTGATTATTCTTCTCCACATTACTGAACGCCTGATATTCTGTCTCACACTCATCCAGTAGTTCTTTCATTTTGGGATTTTCCTGCAGAAATTCTTCTATAGTTTTTCCTAATTTATCAACTCCAGTAAATAAAACCATTGTGATTTTTTTTGCTTCTTCTCCAAAGTTTTCCTGAATCCATTTCACTGTGTTTTTCTCTTCTTTAGTGAATCTCCCGAGTTTGATCACCATCAGAAACACATGAGGACCAGGAGCAGACATTCTCAAACTCTTCTCTATCTCAGCCTTCACATCTTCTTTAGTCATGGTTGTGTGAAACAATCCAGGTGTGTCAATCACAGAGATGTTTATGCCTTCTACTGTGTGTATCTCACACCTTTTAGTTGTAGACTCTGATAAATAACCCACTTCAAATCTCACATCTCTGCCCAGTATAGTGTTTCCTGTTGAACTTTTTCCTGATCCAGTTTTACCCAGAAGAACAATCCTTAGATCTTCCACTGTGAACAACACATTAATGACAGGCAGTAAATAGATCAGAGCTCGTCCACCCTGACAATGTGTTAAAGACTAATAAGCTTGAACAGTATTGTTCAGCATTAATCTTTTTTTTATATATTTTTTTATTTTAGTATCATTTATATACTATTATAACGATTACTATTTTGATTTAGTTTAATTTTTCAATTTTAATTTTATTAAAAAAATATTTCAGCTAAAATTTTTAACAATTTAGTATTTCAAGTTAAACAAAATAAAAAATAGATACTTGGAAAAATAGCAACAAACTGAAATAAAACTTTTTAAAAATATTTTATTCACTTTAGAAAAAAAAGTGAAATACGTAGCAGCACTGGTTACCAACATTTTCTATTAATGGATATAACAGTCAAAGACCATCAACTGAAGACTGCAACAGGAAAAAGGCAGTTAACCATAAACTACAATAACACGCTTAATTTAATCTCTTACAGTTAACCATTAACAATAGCACAAACTAAACAAACTAATATCACTACATTGGCAACTACACAGTTACTGCTATTTAAATGAAGCAACATGCAGAATATCATCAATGTTAATTGCTCTCCTCATCCTAAACACAGATTCTACTTTTTAGAACAATGGTAACCCCAAAACTCTTAAAGAATTAACAGAGGTTAGATGTTGATGTTTTATTTAACCTGTTAACCTGCACCCCCCATTACAAGAGGTCCTTGTTGCAGCCTGTAGCACGATGACGTAGCTGGATCAGACGAGCATGCGCAGTATTGGATTAGGTTGTCATTGAAGCTAGTATTTAATGTAAATTAAACTGTAATTACGAGATATAGGTGTGTTTCATAGGCTTACACTAATTATATTATACTGTGATTTTAAACTACCGTATTGGCCCAAATATAAGACGACCATGATTATAAGACGACCCCCCTTTTTCCAGATGTACCTTTTGGAAAAAGGCATTTTAAAAACCAAATCTTGTTTTTTCTCAGTAAAACACATTTTGTCTTCAATTATTTTCATATTGCATATTTTTCCTATTTTAATTTTTGTAGATGTATTTCCAAGAAAAAAATATCGTCTTATATTCGGGACAATATGGTAGTAGTGTATTCAAACTTTATTTAAGCAACGATGGCATAGTTTTGAATGAAAGAGTTTGGTATGTAAGCTATGTTTATTTTTTATTAGTTTGATTCGTTTTAGAAATAAAACTACTAATTACAATTTTGTTTGTTCTTTATGAAAAAAATGGGGTGTAACTATTGTCTTTATTTTTTCCTCTGATAGTCTAGTCAAGATAGTTAGATAGTTCTGTCAATAATTCGTTCATGAATCAAATATAATTTTTCGTTCTCACTCTCTGTGCTATAAATGACAGAGTATAAAAGTTATAGGCCTACTAAAATATGCGGACATAATTTTTATACCATATAAAAATAAAAAGAAGGAAAACAATCCTGTCAGTCGGGGTTCTGTATAGCCAATAGACCTGTTATCCCGGGTTATACCGGGTTTTTACAGTTAATCCCATGTCCAGCAAATAAATACACACACGGTCGGGGACAAGGCATATTAACACAAAGATGACCATTTCTTTTTTTGTGTGTTATATGCAAGTGAAATCCCTGGAGATAGACCATCCATTCCAGTTATGAGAACTCTCTCTCTCTCTCTCGGGAGACTTTTTTGAGTGTTGTATCAGACGATAGTATGAAAAGCAACTAATAAAACATTTCTTTGACCTGAGGCGTTATTAGCGAGGTAAAGTCTTAATATTAATTTAATGGTTGTTTTTTATTATTATTTTATTATTGTTGAAAATGTTTGTAATAGCTATATTAGAATAATATCAAATCGAAATAAACAAAATGGATCGGCATTAATCTAATATCCCCAATTAAATTTAAATAAACATGACGGATACAATCAAAAAGACATTTAGGCTAACTCTGATAGAGTGATGTATAATAGCCTAATTAGCTATTTACAGGGCAACGTCTGCATATCAATCATGTTACTGCTTGTTGTATCCTTATAATAATGGATACAGCACTGATGTGCATCCTGGCGATAACATATGAAATGCAGGCTATTCAAAAATAAATAAATAAATAAATAAAACTTTGAATTTAGACATTAAATTGTTTACATTGTAATGTAATGTAATCGTGTAGATATGTAATGTAGGTCAAAAACCCTACATGTACTGCGTTAGACTTCACTTAGACGTTGTATCCTTATAATAATGGATACAGCACTGATGTGCATCCTGGCGATAACATATGAAATGCAGGCTATTCAATAAATAAATAAATAAAGCTTTGATGTTGCTGGTATAGACGAAAACATCGCGGATGAATTTCGACATTAAAGTTTTTACATTGTAATGTAGGCTAATGTAAGTCATTGTGTAGATATGTAATGTAGGTCAAAAACCATTTCTACATGTACTGCGTTAGACTTAACTTAGACCAAGTCGTTGGCTAATGTAGGTCATTGTGTAGATATGTAATGTAGGTCAAAAACCATTTCTACATGTACTGCGTTAGACTTAACTTAGACCAAGTCGTTAGACTGAGTCGCTGTGGATAAAAGCGTCTGCAAAATGATAAAATGTAAATAAAAAAAATATGAATTTATTAGAGATCTACTACAGCGCATGCGTGTAAAATATCCACTACGTAGTGGATATAATCCAGCTACGTCATCGTGCTGCAGGCTGCAGTGAGGACAGACTCCCCCATTATGGGACTCACAGCTGAAAATGCCCTACCTAACTTAAAATGGTAACAGTTCCTGACTTCAGTGTGCTACACACACAATTTTTATTTGGAAAGAAGACCCGTTGGGCTTTACTATCCGTCATCCAGAGTTGATAATGCTCAAAAAGATAAAAAGTTATAGACACTGAAGTGCCTTGAAAAAAATTGTACCACACTGAATTTTTTTTAATTTCCTATAAAAATACATGAAATCAGTCCTGGAGCAATCCAGAAAAGTAATGGGTTGAAAGTCACATGTCTCATGAGTTTCTATTTCAAATCTGAAGAAGATACCATGAAAAATTTGATTCCTGCAACCATTCTTCTGAGACTATGTCTGAGACTGAGCTGACCCCATACGTCATCCGCCCGGAGATGCTTCCGTGTACAACTGTTGGTGCAAGCTACATTAAAGTGATTATTACGTTTTGAATATGGATATTTTTCTTACAAACCCCCCGGAGCCGTGAGAGACACTTTTTTTTTAATGGATGGGTGTTTTTTATTTAACTTCTTTTGGAATGAAGCATGCAACACCCGCCGAGTGCCATTAAACAGCTTGGAAGATCAAAGACCATTTTTAATATAACTCGGACTGGATTCGTCTGAAAGAAGAAAGTCATATACACCTAGGATGACTTGAGGGTGGGTAATTTATGGGCTAATTTTCATTTTTGGCTGAACTAACCCTTTAAATATCTCATTAACTCTTAACACTGCTTCAGTGTTACTTTAAAGGAACACTCCACTTTTTTTGAAAATATTCTAATTTTCCAACTCCCCTAGAGTTAAACAGTTGAGTTTTACCGTTTTTGGAATCCATTCAGCCGATCTCCGGGTCTGGCGGTAGCACTTTTAGCTTAGCATAGATAATTGAATCTGATTAGACCGTTATCATTTCTCGTTTAAAAATGACCAAAGAGTTTCTATGTGATTTATTACGCCGGAATGAGAGTATAGTTCCTAGCCATGTTGGCCTAGAAAATCGCAGCTTTTCATTTTCCGTCGGTCTTAGTACACGATGTAACTACAGAAGAGTCAAGTTTTAAATAAGAAAAATATAGAAACTATTTGGTCATTTTTGAGCGAGAAATGATAACGGTCTAATCAGATTCAATGATCTATGCTAAGCTACAGCAAAAAGTGCTACCGCCAGACCCGGCGATCGGCTGAATGGATTCCAAAACGGTAAAACTCAACTGTTTAACTCTAGGGGAGTTGGAAAATGAGCCTATTTTCAAAAAAAGTGGAGTGTTCCTTTAACACTCTGAGTGTGGATTATATAAACTTATTAAACACACCTGAACAGCTGAATCTAGGTCTTCAGACTTCTAATAAAAATGTGAATTTTTTTTAAATTATACCAGATTTTTTTGTACAAATACACATTTTTTACAGTGTGTATTTTAAAGTAACATTTTGAATTGTCTAAAATGTTTTATAGTTTTAGTTTAAGTTAATGATAACCTTATTTTAAATCTAATATTACAACCATTATAAATACATTTAATTGTGAATGCATTTTGAATGCTTCTCAGGTTAATTTTAAGCATGTAATTGTAATGACTGCATTTAATTTAACAAAAAATTTTATATGTTTGTTTTACTTTTGATATTAAGAAAGAGGACTGCATATTTAATCATATCAGTCATAAACAGTCAAGAAGCCTTTAAAGTGTTAAACACAAATGGGCATGAACAGTATTTCACACAGTGATTTTTGTTTTCTTCAGAACTTTATTATAAAATTTGCATCACTATTAATGAATATAACCACTAGAAATAGCTTCATTAACAATCTATATATTGCAATTCACAATAACATTTTAAGCAAGTGATGATAATAATGCCAGCTTTAGTTTTATGAAAATATAAAATATATACACACGGAGTTTTAAGCACTTTAATAAGGATGAATAAGAAAACTTACTTGATGATGATTTGGTTATATGTTTCTGTTACTCTCTGACCAGTTTTCTGACCGTGATGTGCTGCTCACTGATGAGGAGAGGATGTGCATGTATATATATATACTGTATATCAGTCTAAAAAAAGATACATTTACTCCTCCCTCTCATTATAATGAACAAACATGCCCATTGCAAATGAAAGTGTTTCCTGTAAATGGAGGCTGTTTTTGTAAGTCTGTGTGATCTGAACCGAGAAATGAATTGTCATTCATAATTAGTTCTAACATAGGGTGACCATAAGTGCCATTTTCCCAGGACGCGTCCTGGCCAGGATTTCTATATTGCCTAAAATATCTAGGTTTTGGCTTTGTTTGTGTGTGCAGACCGATCGGTGTATGACATCAAAGTACCATACAGACAGTTATGCTTTCGAAACGCTCTCGAGGTACTTTGACGTCAAACACTGATCGGTCTGAGCCGCGCTGCTTTTAAGTCGAACACACCTAATCTGTACGCGTAATTGCATCGATTTGACCGTATATCCCACCTTCTTACACGCCATGATTGGTCCATTATGTACAATGCTTGCATGTTATTGGTCAAACTACTTTTCGATCATTACCTTCAGCAAGCATGAAAACAGGAAAACAAAGCCAAAACAAATCCTGGCCAGGACGCGTCCGGGAAAAATGGCACGTATGGTTACCCTATTCTAGCATACTTAAATATGCTGCACCCCAAATAAAATCAAAACAGACCATAAAATCTTCCAAGCAACCCAAAATAGCCCTTCAAACTCATTAAACTGGTTATGTGCTTTATGTATTTCATGTCTCCTCGGGTAATTATTAAAGAAACTTGTTTTTCTGAAACAAGACTTTCTGCAGTTAACAAGTGAAAGTAAAAGTACACAGTGCTCTATCTGACATAAATAACCCTGATTTATAAGAATTGTCTGTCTGCTAAAGTGAAACAAGACTCTGCAGTTAACAAGTGAAAGTAGAAGTACACAGTGCTCTATCTGACATAAATAACCCTGATTTATAAGAATTGTCTGTCTGCTAAAGTGAAACAAGACTTTCTGCAGTTAACAAGTGAAAGTATAAGTGCAAAGTGCTCTAGGCAACATATTTGGTTTTCACAAATGAATCGGCATTTATATACATGCTCATATATACTGTATAAGAGACATACCAAAATACAATAATGACAATTCAGTTTTGATTAAATAAGGCATTTTACAAAACAAAACCAGAATTTGTATTCATTCAAATATTGCACTGTATTGCAGTAGTAATATTATGTGATACTCATAAGAAAATAAAGAAATGTTTCACAGGTTTATGTTCTAATTAGGTTTGTATAAAATATTAGTTGTCCTGCTATTTGCGATTTCAAGTTTTCCTTTCTCTTTGGAGTGTTACAAGCTCTTTTTCCTGAACCTGCAGAGTAGCCTACAATGCATCTGAGCTCAAAGGCTGTTTCTATAAAGTGGGGCAATTCCAACTTTGCAAGGACAGTCTGGTGCTTCTGACTCACAGA